CTATATGAAAATCATGTGAATTTAAAAATCACTTAATTTTCATATAGACCCGTGCAATAAGTAAACGAAAAAAGCACAGGTTGTTACATAAGACCCGTATGATAATTTTCATTACCCAGTACCTTGATAGGAGGGGTATGCTGTATTAAGACAATATGTTTTACTATATGAGTGTGTGAAAGTGAAAACCTGAAAACTGATTTAATAATTTACTATGTTCAGTTTCCAGGTTTTCACTCTCACACACTCATACTTGAGTACTCGGGTATAAATCCCAAATCGGGTTTACTAATTTTCACCACCAGTTTCTATTTAATGCATAAAAATCCTACTTTTAATTGGATTAAACATATTTTGTCAGACTTTGAAACTTTCAATATTGGTACTCACACTAAAACATATCGTCAGAGCAGTATAAAGATTTAACAAAATATGATCTATACTAAAATTTGCAAGGAATCATAGTTCACGCGATTATGCAGCTTTAATCTCCTAAAAAATCGAATTTATATAAAATTTAATATTTTTTTGTTAGAATACGAAAGGCGGTTCATAAATAAAATTTGGAGTTATTGAGAATTTTAAAAACTTCAATTCTTATTCTTGTAATTTTAGATTACATCAGATCTTGTAATTTGGTTTGCAAACGAAGAGCAACATAGTCTGCTTTGCCTAATCAGAGTTGTCATTTACATATGATTAATCAGAAGTGGTGGGAAAATTAGAGATCCTGTATAAATCACCATCTAGCTCTTAAAACTGTCGGTGGATATAGAGCATATAAGGTACCTGCATCTATATTTTACGGTAATAATTTGCTTTCATATTTAATAATTTGACTATTGTTACAGTCACAGGAGAGACTTTGTATTAACTGTGCCAATTTAGCAGAGGACTGTAAACATTAACAAGAAATGAATTAACTAATTTATTATTGTACAAGGCACTAGAAAGTACAAACAAATGTTTCTATGTTGTGTCCCAGACACTCCTTCAATACTAATATACTTATTCCTTAGCTACTTAGCAAGTTTCAAACTTACTAAGAGCACAACACACAATAACCCGAAAAATAAAAATCCACTCTAAACTAAAAAGACCAAATCTCTCTAAACTAAAATACATATAACTCTATATATACATAAATAAGCTTTAAGATAGTTCTATAGTCTATTAATAGTCTAATTAAAGTATACTTTTATACCTCTCTTAAACCATTAAATATTACACCAAACTATATACGAGTCAAGCAAAAGTATATTAGTTACACAGCGAAAGTTTAATTCTAAAACTACGTTATGTAACACTATCACTAATTATTATATTAGTTCTTTACCCTACAATTTCACAATTTCATATATGCTTAGATCAATTTTAGATACACCAATCAAAAAAAAAAAATGAACTTTGAATATATAGCATAGGCGTAAATGGTTAACAAGTTCGAACTGGTTCAAAAACTGGTTCAAACAATCTTACGATATAAATAAACTTAAAGTACGAAATGAGTCATAAGTAAACAATTTTTCGCCAATTGATTTTTAACAGGGGCATAAGCCAGCTCCTTAACTAGTTTAAAACCAGATTTTTAAAAAAACTAAACTGGGACCTGACTAAAAAAACATTTAATATTCCCAGACCAAATATAGCATTTACTAATACAAGTATTGCATCAGTGATATAAATCCAAAAAGAGATCATTTATTTTATTATGAAAAAATACATTATTGTTATGCTTAAATCTATCCTAAAAGGAAATTCGATAATGTAAATTTAACACTTTTGTTGATGTGCCCACTATTACTTATTTTCTCACATAGTATTTTCATTTATTGTTTTACATATTTATTGACTGATTTAGAACAATTAAAAAAAAATCAAAAGTGATTGTCATAAGTTTGATTTTTAAATGTTTTAATAAAGGTTAATTTTAGCATGCCTTATCAATTTGCTATAAAACAAAAAGCTTTGTTAATACTGTAAAAAAAAAAAAGTAAATAAATAAAGGCTAAAGTTTAAAGACGGTACCATAAAACTGTTAGCTTATATCTGAATATTTAACTTGTTTTTTTTTTCACATAAAATTATCTAATGTCATTTGAACTTTTGAAGAAGAAATTTGTAAACGAATATCTCTCTGCAATGAACGCAATTCTTTGTGTGCTATATCATAACTGCAATTATAAGGAGTTTCATTTAGAAAGTTAATTACAGTGCGAATAGCCTCAAGCTTAACGGTGTTGGAAGGAGCAGTTGGAAGAAAGTCATCATTTGATAAACTATTTTTATTATCTTCTTCCTCTAGTGCTGATGTTTCTAGTATTTCAATATCTGTAAATTCTTGATGCACAAAATTAGTTTCTTCTTGTGGATTTGTAAAATTTTCAAGATTCATTGGGTGACGGGGTGATAGAATTTGAATTGAACTATTTAAATCATCAGCAACCTTTGAATCTTCATCATCAGAATGAATCTCATGAGAAGATGAAAAAGGTTGATTATCTAATAAGCCAGTATGATGAAAGCAGTTAGTAATAATTTTTGAAGAAATAGAGTATCAAGCACATAAACACCATCACATTGCTGTTAATTGTTCAACATGATATATGTCAGTCTTCTCAGCCTCATCACGATCAATAGCGTATTGTAATAAAAAGTGATGATATCTGCATTTGAACGATGCGATAATTTCCTGGTCCATTGGCTGTATTTTGGATGTTGTTTTTGGAGGTAACTTGACTACTTTTATATTAGTAAGCTCTAAACCATCAGTTGCATGTGATGTTGCACCATCTAAAAGGAGAAGAACATGACGATTTCTATGCTGCATTATACTATTAAATTTTTCAATCCATTCACGAAAGAGAAGAGCCATCATCCAGGCTTTTTTATTATTAGGGTAATAAAACCTGAGTTGCTCGCCACTTTTTTTTTTAAATGATCTAGGTTTTTTTGAATAACCAATTATAAAGGGCTCTAGCATATGAAAACCATCCGCATTTGAAGTCAAGGCAATTGTAAGGCGTGTTTTATCCTTTTTACTCTCCTCAATTTGCCTTTTAGCAATCGTTTTGTCTGGTGCCATCCTGTAGAACAAGCCATTTTCATTCATATTATAGACATCACTTAAATTGTACTTACTTATAATTTTACGAAGTACTGGCATACATTCCTCTATTGCTTTGTTGTTTGCAGATCCACTTTCTCCATGAGACTTATGCACTTTGAAGCCATAATATTGTTCAAATGAAATTAGCCAACCAACAGAAAAATCGGGTATGTTAGAAGGATCAAGATCAAGAAGTTGTGCAAATTTTCAGCCCTTTTCTCATATTAATTCTCCTGATAAAAATTCACCTTTAGATTGACATTGTAGAACCCAGTTAGCCAATACCGTATCTAATTATGGTTGGAGGACACTTCGTTAATGTTTAATCCTAAGGCTTCTTTCATCTTCTATAGCAAGATATTGATCCTTCTTTCCAAGAATATATGAGAGAGTTCCTTGGTTGGGTACATTATCAAGATTAAATTTTTCTTTAGCCCATTTTGCAAGCTCATTTTGAGTAATTGTAGGATTTTGTTGTTTGTGCAGGCAATCTGATTTATTTAAAATGAGCTCAGAATCTATTTCTTCATCAGTACTATTAATTTTCTCAACTATTAGATCTGATATTCAATTCTTATCATCAACAAACTTTCCGAGTTACAAAATAATACAAAAAATTTAAATCAAATCCATAACATAACTTATTTATGCGTGATCTAAAGTTGATATTCAGTACTTTGAGTTTATATTGAAGATGGATTGATATATATTTTTAATTTACAAGCTTTATCAAATAAATATATTCTTAGTGACTGTTTACTTAGCATAAAATTATTCTTTACATGTCAAAAATGTCAATATCACGTTGCAAATATGCCAGTGAGAATAGATTAAAAATGATTTACTAAAATTACTTCTTTTGCAGGCAAAAGCAACTTAGTTTATCAAAATAGTTAGTATTTTTAATTTTTTACTTATTACAACAAATATATGATATATATAGAATATAGATATATGAATTATGTGTTTTAGAAATAACAATCTAGACTAATAATGCTTTAAGACCAATAGTATAAATTTCTAACCTTTTTATAATGCTAACTTCAAAAAAGTAAATTTTTTTTACTATTAAAAGCTTTTTTACTTAGATATATTAATTATATAAATTAAAGTAAAGATAGTATATGTTAATGAAATTATTTTAGTATTTAAAAACAAAATTAAAATTTGAAGATAAAATTGGTTTTGATCTATTTTACTTAAAAGATGAAATTTTTTGATGTTTTTTTTAAAAAAATGAAATTATAAAGAACTTAATTATCTAAATTAATTTTGCTTTACATATAAAAATTCTAATTTGCTTTAATAGAAATAAAATAAGTTTTTTTGAAAACCTATTTTAGTGGCATGTATAGTTTATATAGTAGTATGTAATTTTTACCTGATACAGATTTATAATTGTAACTGTTCAGTATAAACAAAAAATCTTATATTTCTCTTTTTATTTTCCCTTATTCTCTTTTCTTTTTTGCTTGTATATTTTATTGCACTCCTTTATACTTATATATTTCTTTTAAAATAATTTTTTATCTTTTACTTCTCTATGAGAAGATGCTATCAGATTAGTGATATCCTATTGTAGGTTAGTGATTAAACAAGACCCAGGGGTATTATCTTAATTGATCATACTTCACTGGTATAGTGTGTTGCCGATAGGCACTCTGCTAACTTTGGTTAGTATGAAGTAGCTGTAAAATGTCAGGATTTAAGATTTAATGTTATAAATTATAACAAAAGTTGTAATTTTGTAGTCTTCCATGAGACTAAAGATTTATTAAACCTGATTACTGGCATGACTGCCTAAGTTGAAAAAATATGGGTAATAATGTATCAATTAATACAAATGCTGAAGTATTAGAACTTAATACAAATGAAATAGTTGAGAAAATTAATAGTACTGATGAAGAAATAGATTCTGAGCTCATTTTAAATAAATCAGATTGCATGCCAGTTATCAATAAATGGTTTATAGAATTAGACAATGAAATATATGAAACAGACTATAGTTTAGATAATGTTGAAATATTACATCCAGCAGATGATCCTCAGACAAAATGAAATCTAAATACAGTTGATACTGTCTAAATGCATACCATCTGTAGAAGACCTTTTGATGCATTTAGACAGTATATGCATTTATGCAAAATCCTGTGATCGACATTATTTGTGTAACATAAGCAGCAACCAATAGAAAGTTCAGAAATTAACCAATAACAATAAAGATAAATATAAAAATAATAAAATTTAAAAGTTTGCTTATAATTATTGTAAAATATAAATGCAGATATTCAAGTTATTTTTATTACCCAGTACCTTGATAGGAGGAGTATGCTGTATTAAGACAATATGTTTTACTATATGAGTATGTGAAAGTGAAAATCTGAAAACAGATTTAATAATTTACTATGTTCAGTTTCCAGGTTTTCACTCTCATGCACTCATACTTGAGTACTCGGGTATAAATCCCAAATTGGGTTTACTAATTTTCACCACCAGTTTCTATTTAATGTATAAAAATCCTACTTTTAATTGGATTAAACATATTTTGTCAGACTTTGAAACTTTCGATATCGGTACGCACACTAAAATATATTGTCAAAGCAGTATAAAGATTTAACAAAATATAATCTGTACTAAAATTTGCAAGGAATTGTAGTTCACGCGATTACGCAGCTTTAATCTCCTAAAAAATCGAATTTATATAAAATTTAATATTTTTTTGTTAGAACACGAAAGGTGGTTCATAAATAAAATTTGGAGTTATTGAGAATTTTAAAAACTTTAATTCTTATTCTTGTAATTTTAGATTACATCAGATCTTGTAATTTGGTTTGCAAACAAGAGCGACATAGTCTGCTTTGCCCAATCAGAGTTGTCATTTACACTTGATTAATCAGAAGTGGTGAGGAAATTAGAGATTCCGTATAAATCACCATCTAGCTCTTAAAACTGTCGGTGAATATAGAGCATACGGGATATCTGCATCTATATTTTACGGTAATAATTTGCTTTCATATTTAATAATTTGACTATTGTTACAGTCACGGGAGAGACTTTGTATTAACCATGCCAATTTAGCAGAGGACTGTAAACATTAACAAGAAATGAATTAACTAATTTATTATCATACAAGGTACTAGAAAGTACAAACAAATATTTCTATGTTGTGTCTCAGACACTCCTTCAATACTAATATACTTATTCCTTAGCTACTTAGCAAGTTTCAAACTTACTAAGAGCACAATACACAATAACCCGAAAGATAAAAATCCACTCTAAACTAAAAAGACCAAATCTCTCTAAACTAAAATATATATAACTCTATATATACATGAATAAGCTTTAAGATAGTCTATAGTCTATTAATAGTCTAATTAAAGTATACTTTTATACTTCTCTTAAACCATTAAATGTTACACAAAACTATATACGAGTCAAGCGAAAGTATATTAGTTACACAGCGAAAGTTTAATTCTGAAACTACGTTATATAACACTATCACTAATTATTATATTAGTTCTTTACCTTACAATTTCACAATTTCATATATGCTTAGAACAATTTTAGATACACCAATCAAAAAAAACAAATGAACTTTGAATATATAGTATAGGTGTAAATGGTTAACAAGTTCGAACTGGTTCAAAAACTGGTTCAAATAATCTTACGATATAAATAAACTTAAAGTACGAAATGAGTCATAAGTAAACATTTTTTCGCAATTGTTTTTAACAGGTGTATAAGCCAGCTCTTTAACTAGTTTAAAACCAGATTTTTAAAAAAACTAAACTGGGACCTGACTAAAAAAACATTTAATATCACCAGACCAAATATAGCATTTACTAATGCAAGTATTGCATTAGTGATATAAATCTAAAAAGGGATCATTTATTTCATTATAAAAAAATACATTATCATTATACTTAAATCTATCCTAAAAAGAAATTTAATAATGTAAATTTAACACTTTTGTTGATGTGCCCACTATTACTTATTTTCTCACATAGTATTTTCATTTATTGTTTTACATATTTATTGACTGATTTAGAACAATTAAAAAAAAATCAAAAGTGATTGTCATAAGTTTGATTTTTAAATGTTTTAATAAAGGTTAATTTTAGCATGCCTTATCAATTTGCTATAAAACAAAAAGCTTTGTTAATACTGTAAAAAAAAAAAAGTAAATAAATAAAGGCTAAAGTTTAAAGACGGTACCATAAAACTGTTAGCTTATATCTGAATATTTAACTTGTTTTTTTTTTCACATAAAATTATCTAATGTCATTTGAACTTTTGAAGAAGAAATTTGTAAACGAATATCTCTCTGCAATGAACGCAATTCTTTGTGTGCTATATCATAACTGCAATTATAAGGAGTTTCATTTAGAAAGTTAATTACAGTGCGAATAGCCTCAAGCTTAACGGTGTTGGAAGGAGCAGTTGGAAGAAAGTCATCATTTGATAAACTATTTTTATTATCTTCTTCCTCTAGTGCTGATGTTTCTAGTATTTCAATATCTGTAAATTCTTGATGCACAAAATTAGTTTCTTCTTGTGGATTTGTAAAATTTTCAAGATTCATTGGGTGACGGGGTGATAGAATTTGAATTGAACTATTTAAATCATCAGCAACCTTTGAATCTTCATCATCAGAATGAATCTCATGAGAAGATGAAAAAGGTTGATTATCTAATAAGCCAGTATGATGAAAGCAGTTAGTAATAATTTTTGAAGAAATAGAGTATCAAGCACATAAACACCATCACATTGCTGTTAATTGTTCAACATGATATATGTCAGTCTTCTCAGCCTCATCACGATCAATAGCGTATTGTAATAAAAAGTGATGATATCTGCATTTGAACGATGCGATAATTTCCTGGTCCATTGGCTGTATTTTGGATGTTGTTTTTGGAGGTAACTTGACTACTTTTATATTAGTAAGCTCTAAACCATCAGTTGCATGTGATGTTGCACCATCTAAAAGGAGAAGAACATGACGATTTCTATGCTGCATTATACTATTAAATTTTTCAATCCATTCACGAAAGAGAAGAGCCATCATCCAGGCTTTTTTATTATTAGGGTAATAAAACCTGAGTTGCTCGCCACTTTTTTTTTTAAATGATCTAGGTTTTTTTGAATAACCAATTATAAAGGGCTCTAGCATATGAAAACCATCCGCATTTGAAGTCAAGGCAATTGTAAGGCGTGTTTTATCCTTTTTACTCTCCTCAATTTGCCTTTTAGCAATCGTTTTGTCTGGTGCCATCCTGTAGAACAAGCCATTTTCATTCATATTATAGACATCACTTAAATTGTACTTACTTATAATTTTACGAAGTACTGGCATACATTCCTCTATTGCTTTGTTGTTTGCAGATCCACTTTCTCCATGAGACTTATGCACTTTGAAGCCATAATATTGTTCAAATGAAATTAGCCAACCAACAGAAAAATCGGGTATGTTAGAAGGATCAAGATCAAGAAGTTGTGCAAATTTTCAGCCCTTTTCTCATATTAATTCTCCTGATAAAAATTCACCTTTAGATTGACATTGTAGAACCCAGTTAGCCAATACCGTATCTAATTATGGTTGGAGGACACTTCGTTAATGTTTAATCCTAAGGCTTCTTTCATCTTCTATAGCAAGATATTGATCCTTCTTTCCAAGAATATATGAGAGAGTTCCTTGGTTGGGTACATTATCAAGATTAAATTTTTCTTTAGCCCATTTTGCAAGCTCATTTTGAGTAATTGTAGGATTTTGTTGTTTGTGCAGGCAAATTTGCTTGCGTTGATCATTGGTAAGGTTAGTTTTTTTTAAAGATGCCATTAAAGATTTAAATTTTTGATGGTTATTCTTCTGACAATTCTTTTTTATTTCTTTTTTTAATATATGAGAGTTGAAATTATAATTTTAAATAATGTATAGCACTGTACATTGTATGTATATAATTCAAATTTCTTGAAGTCTTAGAATTATCTATAATGCTATAATTTTATATAACAGCGCCACTTGCATTATTTCAATATGCACATATACTGCATATTACTTTGATATAAAGACATTCTAACTTATATCAATTCAAACATACGCCGATGTTATCTTAGATAAGATGATAAGTTGAATATACTGTATCCTGTTTATTATGTTAAAACCAGAATATCTAAAATTACGATTATTTTACGTATTACAAAGTTTCGCCAGTTCATATAAAATGGTAATTTTTAATTAATGATAAACCTTTTTCAACCAAATCATTTAAAAAAAGTTGAAAGTCAATTTTTTAGGTTTACATTGCATGTAATCTGAAACCAGTAATATTTTTTTATTATCATTCATTTGTCAGATTTTTTAGTAATTAATGCCTTCATTGAATAGGTTTCAAAAATTTATAAAACAAATCAAACAAAAATTATATGTATGGACTAATTATAAATGAATAATCATTTACACTTTATCAGCCACCATACATTTTGTCATTTGTCATTCATCAGGCAATCTTATCTATGTGCGATATCTCTAAAGGTATAATTGACTTGCCTAACAAGGAATAGTTTATTGGCGCAGTTACTATTAATTTGTCAAGTAAATTTAACTGGATCACATCGAGCTTAAATCAAGTTGTGAACAGTCTAATTCTTGTTCAACAATAAACCTATATTAGTTTTTCTTTAAAATAAGAATTTTCTCCCACGAATTGCAGGTCACTTATCCAATTTTAATACTGTCACATATTGCTTATGTACACTAGCGAAACAAGACAAACATGCAAAAAGTAGCAGTTCAAAGATGTCTCATTTTTCAATCATGAGAGAGTCAATTAATAGAGAATTAAAAAATATAAATCGTTATTATACAAATAGAATTGCATTAAATGATGTGTATATTCATCATATGAATGTACATACGTTGAGAAAGGCAAAAACAATACACCGATCCTAGGTAATACAACTATACACTACCAAAACCAACTAAACTACTACACTACTCTAACCAGAATACTACAACTAATACACCAAACCCTAATATTGGTAAGGCGACAATCGAGGCATGGAAAGATTTGGTCCGAGTAACTAGGGTGAATTGGGTTCTTAGTGATTGTGTCGGATTAGAGCTCTTGATTACGTCATGAATCTCCTTATTCAGGATCACAGGATTTGGTCACGAGTTCCAATCGTTATTACAGATTTCGCCTATTGGGGGAATTAGTAGAGACAAACACTTCTCAATGCTAAACTCCAACTGAGTTTAATACTTATAAGAGTGAATTACAAGTTAAATTCTCTGATTCCTTTAACTTAGAACTTCGAACTCTACCGAGATTTATACTATAAGAGTGAATCACAAGTCAAGTACTCTGATTTCTTTGACTTAGAACTTTGAACTCCACCAAGTTAATCTTTATTAGAGCGAAAGGGTGGGTATTTATATCTTCTTACAATTATTGGTATATAAGCGCTATGTTCGCTATATACACTATGTGGAATATGTACCATATAGGGTCTGTTTCTTGAAAATCAAGTTTTGATCATATGAATTACTATATCCCGTAAGGTCATTTTCAAGGAACAGACCCCATATGTGGAATATGTGCTATATGCGCCATATGTACCATATGTGCTATATGTGCCATATATGCCATATGTGCT